AGCTGCTCCCCGTCGCCCGGGTCTGCGGGTCAGACCAGGGAGAGGGGGAGCAAAGCCTCGAAGGCCGCCTGCAGCGGGACAGCCGCGGCGCGCCTGGGCTGTCCCACTGCGGGCGTCCTCCGCGGCTTTGCTCCACGTCTCCCTGGTCTGACCAGCAGACCAAGGAGACGGGGAGCAGCTTTTCTCGCCCCGGAGAATGCGGGCGGTGGGACCGCGGCTCATCTGGGCGTCCCGCCGCTCCCGTCCTCCGGGGCAAGAAAAGCCCCATTCGTAACTGCGGCTCTGACGTAAGGGGACTGCCTGTATAATAAATATACACATCTAGACAAAACACCTGTATACATTTGTCTCAATTTCCTCACCACTCTGGAGGATTCTTTGGGCTCAGGTCAGAGTCTTTTAAAAGGTTGAGGATCTTCCCCCTCACCCTTCCTTCCTGATATAGTTTCCCCTTTGGAATATGGACTCTTCTCTCACTCCTGTAGTCAGCTTTCTTCTCCTTCTTTCTAAAATAGCTATTGACAGATCCCTTTTTCTCATAACCTTCAGTCCCCTTTGTCAAGTGACCTGCTGATCAGCCTTTTCAGGTCCCTATCCAGTGATTTGTTGCTTAGTTACCAGCTCACCTAAGCAGACAGGTTTTTCTGGGTGGTAGCCAACTCTTTGTCCAAGGAGCTTTCATCTGAAGAGAGGATCATTGACGTTTCACTTCCATTGACAGTCCTGTGTCACTGTGTCTTGGAATTTCAATTCAATGGTGAGTTTAAAAGGCAAGCAAGAAGGCAGACAAGGACATTATTCAAAATGGAACTTATCGACAGCTAAAGATAAACATACAGCATTCAAAATCCCCAGTAGGAATTTCTAAGTTGTATGTAGATGTATTCCCTGAATGGTGACACATTTGTAATACTTGCAATACCAGAGATTTTTATCCTTACTCCTATGGAAAAAGGAAAAACTTTTATTTTGAGAGGGGAAATGACCAAATTGTAATTATCTATAGCTTCATTTGATTTGTAATAGAGAGGTAGCCGTGTTAGTCTGATCTTGCTAAAACTATGGAAACTAAAGAAAAAACTATGTAGCATTTTAAAGACTAACAAGATGGTTTAATTGGTGATGAGCTTTTGTGGGCCAGACCCACTTCTATTTTTTCATTTGATTTATAATGCTTTAATTTAGGGAGAAATATAGAATGAGCAGGGATCAAATATTAATTTGATCTATAAATATGGACTATTGATACACTTTACCATTTGCACATAAGTGTGTCCTGATAACACTTCTCACTCGTGTGTGGGCCCCCAACTGATTTTTTTTCTGTGGGTCAGCGGCCCCTAGCCCAAAAAAGGCTCCTCACCCCTGAATGACTTAAATGTGGCTCTGATGGAATTTAGTCAGTTGCCCTTTACCCTGCAGGCTTTGGCAGTAGTTTCTGGGTAGCAACAGAATTAGTAACATTATACTGAAGGGTAGATGAACTGGTGTTACTACCTGGTGTTACTTTGCAGCCAGAAATAGATGTACATTCTCTCCCCCGTGACACACACAACCACATCTGCCAGTGAATTAGGAAGGGCTTGAGTGGTTAATTGGTTCTGATTTAAATATTCTAACAACGTGATTAATTTAATCAGAGCTACATATTCAGGAAACACTACATCTGCTCAATGTGCAATTTTGTTTTCTGAGTTAATGTTTTTCAAGCTATATATGGTGGTCACCAGATGGAATTGTGTCTTCTGTGTTTCTAAATGTCCCAGATATTGTGTTGCACACAAACCCTTTCCAAAATGTTTTTAAAATTCTCATTTCCACTACATGCTTGTAAATGGTTTTTGTGCAAAAGCTATTGAACTTAGCTATATGCCTCTTCCGCTCTGAGCCGAGTGGGCTGTGAACTAAATTATTAAACATACCTCATAGAATATTAAAGGCATCAAATCACTTCAGTAGGTTAAGTACAAACAATTTTTAGACTATCTCAGGAGACTCACAAATTATTTAAATGAACTATTCGTAATAAGAGGTTGAGGAATAAACTTCTATGAACATGAGAGAATGTCAAATGTTCACACAAATTAATTGCAGGAACTTTCAGCATAAAGTAGTGATTCAAGTGCTTCGGTTGTTTTAAAATGTGGTTACCTCCAACAGAAATCCTATGCCAGGGTCAGACTGGGGTAAAAAGGGGACTGTACTCTACCAAAGCTCCTGCCATGATCCCAGTTTTATTCTGAAATGGTTGTCAAGAAGCAGTAAATATGACCACGGTTAGCATCCTATGGAAATGAATGTGAGAAGGTTCCAACTTTTAAAGGGACTAATCTAATTTTCCTTATAAGACTTCCATAATCAGAGTATTTCATAACCATAAGGGTTAGAATAGTGGTCACCAACCAGTAGTTTGGGATCTACCAGTAGATCTTGGAGCCTCTGACAGGTTTGGCCAGGAAGCTATCAAGCACTGGCACTTCAGTTGCTCCTCCACCCACTGTCATGCTGCTCCTGCCCTCTGCCTTAGAGTTGCTCCCCGAAAGCCTCCTGATTGCTGTGCAGTATGTGGGAGGGAGATGGGGGTTGCCCCCCGGAAGCCTCCTGATTGCTGTGCAGTATGTGGGAGGGAGATGGGGGTTGCTGATGTCAGGGTGTCCCTCCTCCCCCCACTAACTGTACCCCATCTCCACACAGAGAGAAGGGGATGGAGGGAGCTTGGTAATGCAAATCTCGGTCTCTCTCACAGTGTGGCTATGTCTACATTGCAGACTTCTTGCACAAGTACGGCCATTCTTGTGTAAAAACTTGCAGAGTGTCCACACTACAAGCCCATTCTTGCACAAGAAAAAGTACAGTAAAGCGTAAGAACACAGGGCTTTTTGCGCAGGAGTTATTCCTCTCCCCATGAGGAATAAGCAAGAGCTCATGTGCAAAAAGGCATGTGTAGATTGGCTAAAATGGCAATCAGAGCTTTCTTGCACAAGAGAGCATCCACACTGCCATGGATGCTCTTGCGCAAAAGCACAGTGGACGTGCTCTTGTTCAAGAACTCTTGCGTAAAAAGTTTTTGCGCAAGAAGCCTGCAGTGTAGACACAGCCTGTGTGTGTCTGTCATTCTTACAAACACACACTGTCCTTCCCTCTCGTCTCCTGACCCAACATGTACATGAGGGAGAGGGGGGTTGTTGTTACTGCTTCTACTGCTTACAAAATTTTCATTTCTCTTACGCTTAAATTTAATTCTTTGAGTAGTGAGTTCTCAAATGCCTGACCCATTGTGGCTGGAGTAATTATCCCTGTGGTAATTGTGTTCCCCTGGAAGTGTCTGGTATGTCGCTGCAGCCCTTTAGAAAGGCAGAGCAGGGGGCCTCCACGTGCTGTCCTTGCCTGCAGACACCACTCCTGCAGCTCCCGTTGATCAATAACAGGGAACCGTGGCCAGTAGAAGCTGTGGGCTCAGTGCCTGTAGATGAGGGACAGCACATGGCACCAAGTAGCTATTGCCAGCTGTGTTCAGGAGTGGTGCAGGGCTAGGGCAGGCTTACTCCTGCCCTAAGCCCACTGCTCCACCACCTGGAATCCATCTCAGTTAACCGGTGCCCAGCCAGTCTGCTTCCTGAACCCTTGTCCCAGCTCTGAACTTCCTCCTGCCCCAGATGTGAGTCCCTCCTGCATCCAAACTTTCCCAGAGCTTGCAACCTGAAACCCCTCCTGGACCCCAATTCCCCACCCTGGGCTAAGCCTGGAGCCCCTCCCACACTCCAAATCCCTTTGCCCAAGACTAGAGCCTGCACCCCTACCCCAGTCTGGTGAAAGTGAATGATGATGGGAGAGGAAGGGGGATAGAGTGAGGCCTCAGAGAAGAGTGGAGCAGAGGTGGGGCCTTAGAAGGGGAAGGAAGGGAGCTGGGCAAGTGTATTTGGGTTTGAGCTAGATCTTACATTGCACTTAATTAAAAAAATGATCTTGTGGTTAAAAAGGTTGGAGACCACTGGGTTAGAAACATTTTTAATGGTGCTTAATCTGTGCTGCTACTGCACATGGAAATTAAGTCCAGCAATACTTATTAGCCAGAATGGGTAGGAACAGTGTCCCTACCCTCTGTTTGTCAAAGGCTGGAAATGGATGACAGGAGAGGGATCAATTGAGGATCACCTGTTTCTGTTCAATCCCTCTGGGGCTTGAGGATCACTTGTTTCTGTTCAATCCCTCTGGGGCATCTGGCATTGGCCACTATCAGAAGACAGGATACTGGGCTAGATGGACCTTTGATCTGACCCGGTACGGCTGTTCTTACGTCCTTATATAATAGTGCTGATAAAGTATTAATGTAGTGATAAATTACTGATAAAGCTCAAAATGTATTCAGTTCTCATGACAAACTTTACTGTAAGTTAACTATTTCGCTAGGAAGCAAATAAGTGTGGATGCCATAACTATCACCCCTCACAGTGAAGAGCATATTAGTGGTATCAATTAATGTTGGGTCAGATCTGTATGAACCAGCCCAGTCAGCCTCATGAATCCTCCAGGATTCCAAAGTAGCAGTTTCAAACAAAACTTTTTTCTTAAGACTTTTATCTAAATAAAGGAAAATAATACAGTCCAGAACATGAGCAAACCTCCACAAGTTCCCAGACCCTATGCTACTCTATATTAAAGCATGTTGTTCAGAGTGTATGTGTAAGTGTGAGAGATGACACAAATACTGGTAGTAGATTCCATTTGTGTATTGTGTCCACGCTTTTTGAAGCTATTTGGAATCAGTGATAACAGGAAATAAATGTGGGGTTTGTTTTTTCAAAAGTAACTGAGTGAGGGAAGAGAAAAGAGGAAGAAAAGAATAAATAAGATTTTGGGAATGAGGAAATAATAATAGAAAAGAAAACTCCAGATGACTTCATTTCAAATCCAAAAAAGTCAATAAAACCAACATTTTAAACAAAACTATTTAAATTTTTTATCCGGTTCTGTTTTTAAATAACTTCTAATTACAATAGTTTTATCTGGTTTCTTAATAGAATAATTGACTGTGGGATTCTGCTGCTCATACTCAATTTAAGACACATGAGCACATAACTTCTACCTTACGCACAGAGTGTTGCTTCTACCTTAAACACAGAGTGTTGCTTAATTGAAAATTAGCACACCAAGGAGTGAGCGTTCTTTTGGGATAAGTAAATATGTCCAAATACAGTTTAATGATCTCAGACACAAACCATAATTGCTAATTAATCCACAGTGTGTTTTAATTGGCATATTAGACTCAAGATATTTAGTATGATTTTTCCTTGATTCTTTCAGTGCTGTAGTACTGCTAAGTTTACTTATAGCAATGTCTGTAATTCATATAATATGTAGGGGTGTCAATGGTCCTAGTGGCCTATTGACTCTTGTGGGGTGGTGAATCCTCCCCGTGCAGGATGGGGGCATGCCACCCCAAGTTATTCTAGTACTGTTCTTGGTGGTCGCAACGCCCTACCCCTGGTGATGAGACTTATTGCTGGTGTCTGGGGGGGGGGGTGTCACGGCCTACAGGGCTCTAAGGACCTTCCGTGGGTGCCCGCTTTTCTGCCCGCGGGTCTCCCATTGGCAGCTGTCTGGTACAGGGCCAATCCCTGCTTCGTTCCCTGAGCAGCCGGAGGCTCGTGTTGAATAGTCTGTCGTTCCTGGTCCCAGTCCTCGGCCTAGCTTCAGGTATGTCTCTGTTGGCGGTGGTGGGGTGGAGGGGCCCAGGCCCACCCACACCACTGGGCC